TGTCTATATTTCTGAGATGAGGTATTATGTACACTATTTACATTATTCGGACTATTGTCCTCATCTTTGTTGCCATATTTATCACAAAGTTTTGGCCTTTCAGTATCTATCTATATTTCTGAGATGAGGTATTATGTACATTATTTACATTGTTCGGACTATTGTCCTCATCTTTGTTGCCATATTTATCACAACGTTTCGGCCGTTGTACACTCCGGCCTTCTTCAGTATCTGTCTATATTTCTGTGATGACGTATTATGTACACTATTTACATTATTCGGATTGTTTTCCTCATTTTTGTTGCCATATTTATTACAACGTTTCAGCCATTGTACGGTCATTCATTCTTCAGTATCTGTCTATATTTCTGAGATGAGGCATTATGTACTCTATTTACATTATTCGGACTATTGTCCTCATCTTTGTCGCCGTGTTTATCAAAAAATTACGGACGTTGTACGCTCCGGCCTTCTTCAGTATCTCTCTATATTTCTGAGATGACGTATTATGTACACTATTTACCTTATTCGGATTATTGTCCTCATTTTTGTTGCCATATTTATTACAACGTTTCGGCCGTTATAGTCTTCGGACTTCTTCAGGTGGTTGGAATGTCGAATTGAACCCTTTATTTCGCACGCTGAGGTAGACTGTTCTAGTTCCACGTGCCATGTCTAATGGATGTCAGTTATCAGTTATCTCCTGATAATTCCCCAAGTTCCACCGCCTTAACCAGGTATTGAACTCACACACTTTGGGTCCTGTCACTGGATCTAACTAACGGCTTTATCTTGAGAACACATGACACAGTGGATAAAGGTGTTAGTTAGATCCAGTAACAGGACCCAAAGTGTGTGAGTTCAATACTTGGTTAAGGCGGTGGAGAACTTGGAAAGTGGAATTAACAGGAGATAACTGATAACTGACATCCATTTTTTAGAGTAGACGACGGGAAATAACTTCATGAACAGACACACACACTTATATTCTTTCAAATATAATGTCCTATCTGAATGGAGGCGTTAATGTCGCTTCACAAATTCAGGGGCTATTGGAAATGAAAACGAGTTTAAAAGGAACCGGAAACCCAATCTTAAACAGGAAACAAATGATGAATCCCTGTTCCTGTTCAAAAAGTACGGGGATGAGGGCGTACTGGATATCTACCCACTGTTGAGGAAAAATGAATATTAATTAAAATTTCAGAGTTTAAGCGGAGACGTTAGAAGTAGAATTTAAATGAAACCGGAAACCCAATCCTAAACAGAAATCAATGGATAAACCTCTACTCCGGTGCGAATCTATCGACTCCTAATTATACTAAAATGTAATATACAAAATATTATCAGAACCTATTTCCAGCGTACAACTCGAGACACGCCTTAAAAAAAAAAAAACACTTCTATCTGCCACGCCCCTTCTCGACATCAGAGACCATAGCACTCTACAACTTTCGTGAAGCCCTTAGCATTTTTTTCTCCCAAGATTGTTCCGCTATCTATTCACGAATCTCATTCTGCTTTCCCCTATCTCTCTTGCCCTCAATATGCCTCGTGAGTGTTAGATTTTCCAAACCTGCCTTTCTCATTGTGTGTCCAAAGATGTTCAACTATTTTTTCCTGATTCTGAGTAAAAGTGTTCTTTCTGTTACCATTTTCTTTAAAACTTCTTTTCAGCTTATTTGCTCCTTCCATGAAGTAAGGTTTTGATAATATTTGAGTGAGGCCCTGATAATATCTGAATAAAGTTAGGATAATATCTGAATGAGGTTTTGATAATATCTGATTAAGGTCAGTTTGAGGTCGTCAAATTTTATCATGATGTATCTCCAATGTGCAACTCGAGACACGCTTTAAGAAAACTCTTCTATTTGTTAAGTGCCTTCATGACATAGACGACCACGGCTCTCCACAACTTCCTATCTCTTAAAGCTCTTAGCAGTGTTATTCTCCCTTTGTTAAGGCTCCTGTCCCCAACACTGTTCCGTTATCTATTCACAAATCTCTTTTGGTAGTGACTCGCTGTCTTCGCCTATCTCCCATGCCCTCAATATGCCCCGTGAGGGAAAAATTTTCAAGCCCTCCTTCCTCAATATGTGTCCAAGAAATTTCAGTAGTCTTTTTCCTGATTCTAAGTATAAGCGTTCTTTCTGTTTAGGTATTTTCTTTAAGACTTCCATGTTCCTTACTCACTCTGTCCGTTGAATTTTCAGTATCCTTCGAGAGAACCACATTTCTGCTCTCTCACTATTTTTTCCTCATCCGTGGGAGATTGTCCGAACATTTAGTGCCGTATAACAAGTAGAATATCACATTACAATCCGGCAATTTCTTTTCTTTTGTTTCTAACGTATTTTTTTCCAATTCTCATCAATTTGACTAATTTTTGGAATGCTTTTTTCGCTAGTCAAATGTGTATTCTGTTCTTGCTGTCGTATTTCCCATCCTCTGTTAAAACGCTTGCCAGATATTTAAACTTGCTTAACTGATATACAGTCAACGACCAAATTATTCCTACAAAGTCACTTTTTGAATATTTTTATCCATTTCTCAGAATCTAATGCCCGTATGAGGCCAGGTTTTTCATATGTTATAAGCACAAAAAAAAGGAATATAAAACTAAATTTTCAGAACAATAGATTAAATACAACAAATTTGACAGGCGATTTATGCAAAATAAGAAAAAGTCAAAATCATTTGTACAGTATGAAAAATAGAAAAAAAATTGAACAATTTTTACAATATTGATAATCATGGCCTCTCATATTTATAATTTTCTGCAACCGTTTTCTAAATTTTTGATGAGATTTGAACAAGTCTTTCCTGGGATTTTCTTCCATTCTTCAATGACTACACGTTCTAATTCCTGAACGTTTTTTGCTGACCGACGATTTATTCGAACTTTCAATTCTTGCCATAGATTTTCAATAGGATTCAAGTCAGGATTCTTTGAAGGCCATGGAAGAACTGTAATCTTTTTTTTCTGAAGCCACTGATTCAGACGTTTGTTTGCGATCATTATCTTGCTGGAAATTAAATCGCCGATGTAGAAGATGAAGATTTTGCGCTGATAGTTGTAGATTTTCATCCAGAATTTTGATATAGTCTGCAGATTTCATTATTCCCCATATTGCAGTTAATTGCACAGTCTCCCTTGAGCTAAAACAACCCCAAAACATCATCAAGCCGCCTCCATCTTTTAATATTGCCACTGTGTTCTTTGGGAGGAAAGCCTCACCTTTCTTGCGCCAAATCTACTATACATCATTATGTCCAAAAAGCTCAATTTTTGTTTCATCATTCCATAGAATTTGTGCCCCAAAAACAATTTTTTGTCCAAGAACTTTTTGGCAAAATTAAACCGAGCAACAATGTGACATGGTTTGTGAAAAGGGGTTCGTCGTGTTCGGTTTCCATACAACCAATTTCTATTTAAACAACGTTGTATTGTGCGAGTAGTTACATTGAGGGTCATCGTATCCAAACTTTTGGCGATGTCTTTCAATAAAACTCTTGGGTTTATATTAATCTCGCTACACAGTTTTAGTGCAGTTCTCGATGACAATTTGTGTTTTCTTCCACGCTCAGGTAAATTCTTTGTAATGCCAAACTGTTTAAACTTCTTTATAACGGGCTGTACAGTACATCTAGGGATAGCTAACCTGTTTGAAATAGAGCTGTATCCAGATTTGTGGAAGTTAATAATTCTCTGTCACAAATCAACGCTAAGGTCTTTTGTCTTCTCCATTTTGTTGTTCATGTAAGAATAAACATGGCGGCACTCTATGCACCACGTGATGTTCTTCGCTAGAATTACCAAAAATATTCAACTGAATAAATAGTGTAGAAGACTTCATCGAGAAAATAGTTATGTAAATTACTTATACTTACACGATTCAATCAATTTAAAACGATATTTTCTACTGTACGAATAATTTTGTCTTTTCCTATTTGCATAATTTTCTTGTCAAATTTGTTGTATTTAACCTATTGTTTTGAAAATTGAATTTTATTTTCCTTTTTTGTGCTTATAACATATGCAAAACCTTGAATCATACGGGCATTAGATTCTGAGAAATGGATAAAAATATTCAAAATTGTTGGGTATACGAATAATTTTGTTGTTGTCTATAGCTAATTTGTAACTCGCATCTTGGGCCTTTTCGCTTGCTGATAATCATACGTTCTGTCTTCTTGCACTTTACGAAGAGTCCATTTTTATCGCTTTCATCTATCATCCTGTCCAGGAAGTCCCGTTGTGTTGTTATCATTTCATACATCAACACAGTGCCATCTCTTTATCTTATATTGTTAAGATTAAGCTCACCGATAATAAATCCTGTTAGGCTCTCCAGTTCCCTTAGGATAGTGTCGCTGTAGAGGTTGAATAAATCTGGAGAGAAGCTGTATCCTTGTCTCACGTTCCTTTCTATTTTTGTGTAGTTACGCAATTCGTTTTCTAGCCATATTTCTTGACGTTTCTCTTGTTGAAAAGCCATTTTTGAATATGCGCAGTATACGGGGTCTGATACGGAGCCTGATCTAAACCGAATTTGACAAGATAAACTCGATATAAAAATTACCCATCCTGAAATTAAGTAATCCGCAAAGAAAAACAAATATTAGAACGTAAAAATCAATGGTTATTTTAATTTAAGCAGTGAAAATGTACCCAGAAATGGATAAAAAAATCACACAGGTTATTCTTTTTAACCTAATATTCGAGACTTAGAATGCGATTTGCATTCACCAAATTGTTTAGAAGACAAAAGACGAACTTTAAAGAATTATCTTCGACATCGATGTTTTTTTTTCTTTTACAAATGGAATGTCATTAAATCCTTCCCAATGACCCACTTACTGTAAGGCTCATCATGATAATCGATTTACAATAAAGGTTAATCGATCAAAGTTCATCAATAACAAATAAATGCTATGGAAAATAACGCCCCAATTGAATCCATTAGAATGATTTGCCTCTCATTTATAACATCATTTTGATGTTTCTGATTTTGTTTTCCAATTTCTTTCTTTCTTTTTTTTCTTTCTATTCTTTTCTTATTTTCTTTCTTTTTCTTTATTCTTTTCTTTCCTTTTTTCTTCTTTTTCTTTTCTTTCTTTCTTTCTTTCTTTCTTTCTTTTCTTCTTTTTTCTTTCTATTCTTTTCTTTTGCTTTCTTTTCTTCTTTTTCTTTTCTTTTTCTTTCTTTCTTTTCTTTTTCTTTTCTTTTCCTTCTTTTCATTCTATTCTTTTCTTCTTTTTTCATTTCTTTTCTTCTTTTTTATTTCTTTTCTTCTTGTTTCCTTTTTCTTCTTTTTTCTTTTCTTTCTTTTCTTTTCTTTTCTCTTTTCTCTTCATTTTCTTTTCTTTCTTTTCTTCTTTTTCTTTCTATTCTTTTCTTTCTTTTTCTTTTCTTCTTTTTTCTTTCTTTTCTTCTTTTTCTTTTCTTTTCTCTTTCTTTCTTTTCTTTTCCTTCTTTTCCTTCTATTCTTTTCTTCTTTTCGTTCTCTTTTTCTTTTCTTTTCTCCTTTTTTCTTTTCTTTCTTTTCTTCTTTTCTTTCTTTTCTTCTTTTCATTCTTTTCTTTCTTTTCTTCTTTTTTATTTCTATTCTTTTCTTCTTTTCTTTCGTTTGTTTTCTTTCTTTTCTTCTTTTTTCTTTCTTTTCTTCTTTTTTCTTTCTTTTCTTCTTTTTTCTTTCTTTTCTTACTCTTCTCTTCTGTCTTTTCTTCTCTCATGTTCTCATTCTCTTCTCTAAGGGGATATTTATCAACCATACTTTAGTCAGGTACAAGGCCATATTAGTGGCGCATTCTCTCAATGTCGATCTCACTAAACTACGACAAACTCGAACTAGAACAGCTGATCTCTCATATAGAAGCAAGTGGAATTTCTTTCTTTGTAATTTGACACAAGGCTTTTTCCTGTTCCATTTGCTTTTTCTTCTTCTTCTTCTTTTATATCTTTCTTCTTCTTCCATATCTTCCTCTGCCTTCTTTCCTTCCTTTCTTCTTCTTCTTTTTCCACATCACCCTCTTCGTTCTTTTGAATCTTCTTCTATAGACCTCGTCAACTACTTCTTCTTCTTTATCCCCATATTCATCCCTCGTCTTTCTTGTTCCACTCTTCCTTCTCCTTCTCCTCATTCTTCTTCTTCTTCTTCTTCTTCTTCTTCTTCTTCTTTTTCTTCTTCTTCTTCTTCTTTCTCCTCTCCTTCTTCTTCTTCTTCATCATCATCATCAAACACTTCCGTTTCCTCTTCTGTCTTCCATATCTTTTTCTTCCTCATTTGCTTCCTTTTTCTCCTTTTTCCTCTTTCCTTTCTTTCTCTCCCAATCTTTTTCTTCCATATCCATATCTTCTTCTTCTTCTTCTTCTTCTTCTTCTTCTTCTTCTGCTATTGCTTTTTCATCTTTTTCTTCTTTTTCAACGTCTTTTTCTTCTTTTTATTATAATTTTTGTTCTTCTTTTTCTTCTTCTTCTCCTACTTCTGATTCTTCTTTCTTCTTCTTCTTGTCTTTTTATTCTCCTTCCTTCCTTCTTTTTCTTCTTCTTCTTCTTGCACCCGCACTTCGATCTTCCTCTTCTACATAAATCTCTCAATTTCTACACTTTAAAAACATTACTCTCATTTCTTTTTTTGTTTTTTTCACTCTTGCCATGTACAGGCTGATTGGAAAGTAACTGTCCATTTTAAAAATACTTATAATTTATTTATTAATTATAATTTTTACAAGAAATGGATATGAGAGGAAAGCGTTTAGCTTGAGGTTTTATTTAAAATTCAATATGGCCACCAGATTTCGCTACCGGCTTCTCTAGTCGCCTAGGAATCACGTCAACTGATTTCACCAGGAACTCTTGCCATATGGAAGACATAACTTCTTGTATTCGCCCGTCAAGCACTTCCAAAGTCTTGGTTTTGTTTAGGAGACTTTCTCTTTTAACCAATTCCAAAGAAAAAGTCACAGGGTGTGAAATCAGGACTCATGGCTGGCCACTCATTCATAAAACGTGTATATTCCTATGTCTTCTTCGTCTCTAGATAGATTTCCAGATAGATATAAATAACAGACAGGTATATTTCAATGAACTTATATATGAATGAACTGAAATCGATACATCGATATATCGGTATGAATAAACAGCATGGAGCCATTGGAGAAAAGTTCTTTCGTTAATCAACATTTCGATCTCTAAATCTTTCAGGTTCTAAATAATTGATTTGATCGGTAAATGTATTAATCGAACACGCCTCCCCCGTGCAAACACAAGGGAACTTTCAGTGGACAAGAGGATAAAACTTTCAGAGTAATACATCGATGTATGGATATCGATGTGTGGGTAACGTAATGGTTATCACCGTAAAAAAAAAATCCCGTAGGGTGCCAAGGATACCATGGACTGAGCGTGTGATCGCCGATGAGGTTTTGTAGAGAATTCAAACAAGGAGGAAGCTTATACTTAACATCAGGAAGAAGCAGATGAAATTTCTGGGACATGTAATGAGAAAGGAGGGCCTGGAAAATCTGATACTCACATGTCGAACAGAGGGGAAAAGAGACAAGGGAAAGCAATTCATGACATACCTGGGGGGGGGCTTAAGCAAGTGGATAAGAGAACGTGGTCTAAGGGAGGTGTCAGAGGGACGAAACTTATTGAGAGCTACAAGGAATAGCCGGAAGTGGAGAGCCTTGATCGCCTACGTCCTGAAAGGACACGGCACAGAAAAAGAAAAAAAGAAGATCTGAATTAAAATTCCAGCCGAGGTCGATGCGTTAAATTTCGCTCCAGACAGATAGGAATCCATTTCTTTCCTTGCTTCCTCCTTTAGCGCCTCTTGAGAGTTAAACTCAACCCAGACCTGAAGTGGAACGCGTGCATACGATCCGCCGTTAAAGAATCTGGAAAAAAAGGTCGTTTTCCTCTAGCGCTACCGTACTTACCTTTTGTGCCGGAAGTGGAGGAAACGTTTCCCCTCATTTTAGATGGGAGAAGGCGCTGAGTCCCGGGGATTCCAATCCTGTAGCAGTACCTCCCTCACTGCAGTAAGAGAGGTAGGGTCGGTGTAATATCGACATCAGCGTGACAGTATGCGCAGAGACTGAGTAATTTTTGGGTCTCTGCCCCATATGCATACCTATGTGTTTAGCGCTACGCGCGCTGATAGGATCTTTTGTCGATATTCAACAAAGTCTGACTCGTAACGGAACGCGGAAATGGTTTCAATCTAGGACACACCAGAAATCGGCTCTGAAATAAACGACAGATCCAAGTTACAGTCATTTTATATCAGCAATGAAAATCTGGCACGGACTTTTGCAATGATAGCTAGCTAGCTAGCTAGATAGATAGATAGATAGATAGATAGATAGATAGATAGATAGATAGATAGATAGATAGATAGATAGATAGATAGATAGATAGATAGATAGATAGATAGATAGATAGATAGATAGATATGAAAAAGCTGAGATAGATAGATAGATAGATAGATAGATAGATAGATAGATAGATAGATAGATAGATAAACTAACATAGCTAGCTAGTAATCTAACATAGCTAGCTAGTAATCTAACATAGCTAGCTAGCTAGCTAGCTAGATAGATAGATAGATAGATAGATAGATAGATAGATAGATAGATATGAATAAATTAACATAGCTATCTAGCTAGTAGCTAGCTAGCTAACTAGATAGATAGATAGATAGATAGATAGATAGATAGATAGATAGATAGATAGATAGATAGATAGGAACAGACTTAGATAGATAGATAGATAGATAGGAACAGACTTAGATAGATAGATAGATAGATAGATAGATAGATAGATAGATAGATAGATAGATAGATAGCTTTCGCACGTGTCTCTGTACGGTAGAAGCGTATAAATTGCAGATTGCAAACAGAAACCTAAAAGGCTTTTGATGACAATTCCTTACAAAAAGCCTTCGATGTGTATTTATGGCCCCTGCATTAATCGGCGTGTGTCTTCCGGCAGAGATTGCAATCCCTAGAAATTCATGATTTTATGTTTCCTTCTTAATGGATTTCTCGATGATTTCCAAATCGATGCATAAGAAATATGGCGTCCTTCTTTTGAACTTTGCTTTCTTCTCCTTTGTTTTCTTTTTTTTAAGATTCGTTCTCTGCTGGTGAATGTTGATGAAACCCTTTATCTATAGCGTTCGTTCTCCATTTTTTTTCTTTCTTTTTTGATTTCAAGTGGATCTATTTCTTTTTAATTCTCATTCTTCATTTCAAATGGCAAATGTTAATGGTTACCGAAGTTTGTCTGGTTGAACATTACACAGAATTAATGAATCACTTGGTGATCTATACAAAGAAAAAAAACCTTCACATTATCCTAAAAAGCAAAAAAAAAAAAAACAAGAAAAAGTTAAAAGGAATGCTTTTTCTTTTTCTTCTTTATTCAAAATATTGTTTTAATTCTTGACTTAACCCTTTCTTCTTCTTCTTCTTCTTCTTATTATTATTATTATTATTATTATTATTATTATTGTTGTTGTTGTTATTATTATCATTATCATCTTCATCCTCCCCATCCTTCGATTCTTCTTCTTCTTCTTCTTCTTCTTCTTCTTCTTCTTCTTCTTCTTCTTCTTCTCTTTCTTTTTCTTCTTAATCCTCTCTACATCTTTCTTCTTCGTCTTCTTCTTCTTACTTCCACTTCTTCTTCTTCTTCTGCTTCTTCTTCTTCTTCTTCTTCTTCTTATTATTATTATTATTATTATTTCCTTTGATCTCTGGCGTTTACACATTTCATTCCGGGTCCCGCCCAGGGACCTAAGGTTAGAAATGGCATCATGACACTTTCCACTGACAAAAAAAAAATTACATAGATAAAGCCCTTCGTAAAGTGTGGACCGTACTTGTCAGAACAATTTTTTGTATCTCTTTGAGGCATGGACTTCCAGGAATCCCTTCAATGAGTCTATTAGAATCTTTCCCAACCAATCCGAGGACTCCAACTACAACGAGCATTGTTGATGTTCCTATATGCCATATTTTTGAGATTTCGATTTCAAGGTCCTTGTATTTTGACAGCTTTTTGAAGATCTTCAAAATCTTCAAAGATACATTGCAGTCAGCAGGGACTGCCATATCAATAAGGAGGCATTTTTTTTGTTTGTGGTCTTTAATAACAATGTCTGGGGGGTTGGCTTTGATTGTTCTGTCCGTGTGTATTGTGTAGTCCCATAGAATTGTAACAGATCCTATCTCCGGAACCGGGTCTGGGTGGTGTTCATACCGTTTTCTTTCCTTCCCGTAGAAGTTGCAGATTATTATTATTGTCTTATCCGTAATGTTCTTTTAAATGCAATGTCAATCGTTATCTTCCGTCTTCTTGTTCTTTAATGTCCTCTCTCCACAATAGTATATTTTTCTCATATTCTCTAACACTACGCAATATCTTGCGTCTTAGTGGCTTTGTTGCTTTGGTTGGGTTGAAATGATTGAAGAAATTCCACTGGCGTAAGGGGTTCATGGATGTGGAAAAGAAAGAGAAAACTTTACTGAGCGGGAAAAAGGACAATAAAAGAAAAGTGACAGAGAAACAGAAAATGGTTTCGAAATTCACTTCCGGTTTCTTGCTCTCTAATCAACTTTGATCTTCAAAAATTTAAATGCAATGCCAATCGTTTTATTTTGTCTTATCATTTGTACCGTTTCTCCTTTGTACCGTTCTTTTATGGTTCTCTCTGCTGAAGAATCTTTTTCCTTTTCACGTATTCTTTGGCATTTGATAGGACAGACTTCCGGGAGAAAAGCTGCCCCGATCACTATAATCTTAACCTCTTCAATTCTAGAACTATCTCTTATCTACATTCAACAACCTTATTCATTTATCCTCTGCCTTGAGTGGCCAAGACCTATGTCTTTTTAAAAAATAACAAAATAAAATACTCATTATTTCAACAACTGGTGGACTGGGCCAAACAGACCCCACGGACATGCATCTTCTTTTGTCAGCGTCGTCTCCTAAGACTGGGTTACGTACATCGAATGAATGACGGCTGTATGCTAAAATAATTTATGTACGGTGAGCTGGACACGGAACATTGCATCGCGACTTCAAGGACTTCTGCAAAAAACGCCTGAAACTTACAGGCATCGATCCTGATAGCTTGGAAAAGCTAGCAGACAATCGCAGTGGCTGGAAACATGCTGTTCTAAGAGTCAAGAAAGGCGAAAAAAAATGAAACCAGCAGTTGGAGTTCGGAAGAAAACGCAGATGTTTCTTTTTTCTAATTCTACTAGTGTCTGTCAGTTATTTCCTTTCATTGTAAACAAGCCATTTTTTTTTTTCATTTTTATAAACTTTTACTTCGATGCTCATTGCAATTTTTACACAAAAAACGCTATTGTTCACACTACTGGATTATTATCATTATTGTTGTTGTTATTATTATTATTATTATTAGTGAGTTTAA